TGTCTCATTCATGGGCTGGGGATGAGATGAAGGCACCTTCATAAGGTTTGGGCAGAAAAAAAATATGTAGTCAGACCAATAAATGCAATTGTGGAAAAGCCCTAAGGGTTAGCCTCATAACTCAGAATCATTTCTTGCCTCCCACTTAGTCATATCCTTAACGACCTTAATTTGCCTTCTTGGAAATGGACATTTCATTTTACCTGTTAGTAAACTCTATTCAAATATTCTGCCTTTAAAAGTAAAAAGATTCCTCTAATTGTAATCTCTTTTGTGCTCTCTCTAAATTATACGGTATGGAAGAAAATCTTTCAGTGGCTCTCCCTTGATTGATGGGTTGTTCCCCAAATGAACATAATACCCACATCTCTTTAGCAGAAGAAACTGCATGTTGCAAAATGCCAGGGAGAACCAGCCCCAAAAAGGTGCTGATTCAAACTCTAGCACAAATGTTGCAATCTTAAGGTCAGCTAAGTCATTATTTTAATGTCATTATTTTAATGTCTCATTAATTTAAAAAAAAACCTTTGAAACCTACTTAATATTTTGGAAGTGTGTTCCAAAGTATGTGCTTCAGCTCTGCCTCTTTCCCACCCAACATCTAAAGCATTTCAGTCATGCTTTTTCAGAGGATAGAATGGGAACTAGAAAAGGAAAATGGAGCATCTTTTTCACACTGCAGAGAGAGCAAATCTGCCATAGTCTATGCAACACAGAGAGATGCGTACTTGTAAATTACACAAATAATTTAATATGCATGTAAGTAAATTAGTAAATTCCAAGCTTAGATTTGCAGTTTCTTATGTATGTATGATTTTTTTCCATCTCTACATAAAACAAATTGTAATAGAAAATCACCATATTTTTGCAAGTCTTGAACCCAGATTTTTATGTATCTTTTATTCTGTGTGATTCTCAAGCCAAAGCAGATACATTTATTGCATCTTAGCAATATTATGAGACTAAATGTACACCGGGAGTTTCAGTAACTAAATAATTAGAAACCAAAGGGAGTGCTGAGATGACATTCTATGCACATTTAGCTGGAAATACAACTACACAAGTTTGCATATGATTGCATTAGGGAAGATGTTTTATTCCTGTGCTTGAAGAATTCAGCTTGACTGGAAGAAACCTGGATTTGCATTTCCCATGAGATCACTCAGTGGTCCTCATCTTCAGGGTCAGGCTTTCCAAACAGCAGATCATGAGCCCGTGAGGGGAAAATCCCAAAACCCATGGTTTAACACAGATTGCACAGGTCTTGCTTTCTAGGATCCCACTTGTTGGACACATCATCCCATCCAATATATTCTTTCCTTAATGATGCAAAATAAAAGAAGGATCGCCTGGTGTCTTACATTCATCTCTATTCTACTACTGCCATGTATATAAATGGGTTAAAGCTAGAATAACCTTGGGGACTGTCCATGCTAATTACCCACAGTATTGTTTTCAGCAGCTCTGAAAACTTGTGTGCCTTCTGAAATACAGCTATAAACATATAATTCTTGCCTGTTTGTGTTTCTATTTGCTTTTCTCTCCTTTTAATCCCACTTTGCCCATTAACTGTTTTTTTTTTGTTTCCTGATGTTTAATAAACAAACATCAAGTTATATTTTTGCTAGCTGAACTTAGTGGCATGTATATTGGATTTGGACATAGGGGTTGACAGAGAATGTGCTAGATGCAATCTAAATTGGAAGTTACCCATAGTAATTTTCCAATACCACTAAAGTTGATCAGGCTGGAAGGAAAAAGTGGCAAGGTGTTTTCAGTGATGATCACACACTTGCAGATTTCCTTCTCAGAGGAATTTTATGGCACTCCTTGCCCTTCTTTGCAGCCTTCAAAAGATCCTAAAATTTCTGTATTCGTATGCAAGTGGATGTGAACACTTATCTAATTCTACTGAATGTCTTCTTGACTTAAGTGATATGCTAGGGGAAAAAAAAGGCAAATTACTATCTATAGCATTCCTGTAATGCTTTTCCTCCATGGAACGACTGCCTGATTAGCACATGCCTGAACCAGGATTTGAATCTGGGTTCCCTCAGATGTAATCTAACCACTGCATCCCATTAGCTGACACAGACAGAATCAGAGTGATGAAGGGGGCATCAAATCCAAGCCCTTGCTCCATGCAGGAATCCAACTTAAAGGGAAAAAAGAAGCATCATTTCAAGGCTCTATTTGCCTTTCTATTTATTATGCTCAGATGTTTAGCTTTCAGGCATTCTCTTATTATGTGGTACCTGATTTCCACCTTCCTTGGCCAGTGGGTTGGATTTCCCTGATGCCTGCTGAAAGGCATTGCCATGGAATTCCATAGCTGCTGAGGTTGAATTCTGTAGCCCAGAGCATGCCCAACAACCTTCCTGTGTCTTTTTACTTTTTCTGCCAGGGAACCCTAGGGAGTAACTTTTCAAAGGGGGGTTTGTCCCAGATCCTCAGCTCCCTTGACAACGCCTGGAAAACAAATCACAATAGAAATAAACAGCTCGTGGCAAGCATCTTGCCTTCATGAGTGCAGACAAGTCAGGCTGGGAACTGGGGGAGGTTCCCCAGCCACAAGTAAACACAAGCAGCCATCAAGGATTCCCCGGGGATTTCTCAGGAGGTGCTTCTTACAGAAGAGAATGTCATCTGTAACCAGAGTGGGACTGAGTCACTCTTTTAGGAGTACAGGTTACAATTTGAAAACATTTAGTAACATTTAGGTTACTAAAAATATTTTCTTAGAAGCAACCCACATAGGATTGTTATAGCACAAAAAGGTGTCCTATATAAACCACTGCAGATTATGTTCTGTCATTTCTACGTGTGGACCCCAAATCATTATACCTTATACATTAAAAAATTCCGCATGCTAGGAATTTTAGTTCACCTGCTTGATTCCCAGCTTTTTGAGATAGGGCTGCAAGTTAAACTATATTGAGCTAGATCAGATGACTTCAATGTAAAGCTTGATTCCTGCTGTTGTAAACTGGGAGGAAAGGATTAATTATCTCCACTGTCCCTTTCAATTCCATTGTGACATAGATCAGATTTATCTAACCTGAGCACCCTCCAGATACAGTATATAATTTTAATTCCTAGAATTTCCTAGCCCACATGGACATTACTAAGAATTCAAGGGACTGAAGTTCACACTTCTTGAAAATGCCCAGGTTGGCTGCTATAGATCCTTTTAGGCATTCTAGTCCTCCTGCATTTGTTCATTTCATCTCATATTCTCATTGGCCATTTCCAATGCCTTCTACAACCTTGAAGGATAACAATCTGAAGTATCTATTAAAATAATCTGTTCTAAATGTATAGACTCCCTACAAATTTAGACCAACAAACTCCATGCTACAGGCCTTTATTTTGTTGCAGGACTGATGAACAGGGATATGAGCATGAGAATACTTTAGTACAGCTAATGATTCTTAAACTGGGAATTGCTTGTCCTCAGAAATGAGGGAAATGTCACACCTGATGTATCACATTCCACCAGGAATCTGGCAAACCCAAATATCCAACTGTGCAGCCACCATGGAGATTTTTTCTTCTTCTCCCTTTTCTTCTCCCTTGTTGATGGAAGGATAAGAATCTTTTCTCCTGCTCTGTGTTTCCCTTTTGAGAGGAAATCCAACCCATTGCTCCCTGCCTTCCAAATTCATGGTTTAAAAGCAGCAGAGGTGAGAATAGGCTGATTCAGCAGTCCTATTTAGCTCCTTCTGTGATATAGTGATCAAAACAGGCCTTCAAGGGTCAAGCTTCTATTAAGTTAGGGAATATGTGGTTAGTATGTTACTGTAAGAGCTAATTTGGTGTAGTGGTTAAGGCACCAGGCTAGAACCTGGGAGACAGTGGGATCTAGTCCCGCCTTGGGCATGAAGCCAGCTGGGTGACCTTGGGCCAGTCACCCTCTCTCAGTCCTAGGAAGGAGGCAATGGCAAATCACTTCCAAAAGAGTAAAAACTGCAGGGACTTGTCTAGGCAGTCGCCAGGAATCAACACTGACTCAAAGGCACCAAAAAAAAAAAAAAGTTAACTATAAGAACTAAATAAATCAACAGATTGTTCCAATGGTTGCCTTAATTTAGATATCAGGCCCCAGACTTCAATACATTATCTTGGCAAGTAGGCATACAAATCCATTTTCAGCTGCATGCTGAGACCATTTCCCCTTTCAAAAAATATACTCAGTAAAGGCAGTGACTTCTTTTTAGTGCTATCCAGCATTAGAGTGCAAAATGAAAACTTGAAAACTTGTTCTTATGCTGTGCATAATGCTGCAAGCCAATTTTTCTCCCTAGGAAAATAAAATCTGTTTGCAGGAAGTTTTGTGAGCTTCTATTTTTAATACGGGAAAAGCACCTTAGAACAGCATCGTGTTTGCAGCTGCAAACTTTCTTCTACTGTCTATGTTCCCACGACAGGTGAACAGTCTGCTTAAATAATCCGGTTTTCTGGAGTTGCACGACTCCCTGAACTGAATAGACTGCCGAGTGTCAGCCTAGACGAACCTGGTGCATTTGTTTTGCTCGGTTGGCTTTCTTGTGGCCCAGCTGCGTGGGAACACAGCTGCTATGTGGACAGGGTAGCTTTTATTCCCAGCCTGGTTATCAGACACGGGGGTATCCATATTTATTCAGAAATACGTCCCGGACAAGCATCAATGGACTGAAGCGGATCCTGAAGACAGCAAAGGAGGTGTGATGTGAAGGAAGGAAACTGGTGCCAAAATGTAATCTTGGAAGCGGTTTCCAAGAGCAGAATTATGCCTCAGCGTGGATAAGAATCCCGCCAAAGAGCATCTCGTCTCGTCTCGTCTCGTCCCGTCTCAGTTAGGACAAAAGAAAAAGGCTGGCACGTCCTTCGGCACCCTCGAGCCCTTCTTACACTAAAAGCCGAGTCCCGGCGGAGTCTCCGTTGGGAGCGGAAGGTGAAAGGGCCCCAAACAAACGCAGCTCCTCCCCGCAGGCTCCGCCCCTGCGCCCTCCCGGCTGGAAAGCGGCAAGCGGTAAAGGCGGCTGCCCGCGGCTTCTCGGCGAGAAGAATCGGTGGTGCTGCTCCTCTTGCTGCTGCAGGAGGAGGAAGAGAGCAGGCGAGCAAGACCCGCCGCTGCCATGGGGAGAGTGCAAGGAGGGATGCGCTGCGTCAAGTTCCTGCTCTTCCTTTTCAACTTCATCTTCTGGGTCAGTGCGGGGACGGAGGAGCAGAAGGCGATCGAGGGCTGAGGGATCAGGATGCCGGGTGGGTGGTGGTTGGAGGCGACGATCTCTTGCCGGGCTCTTCCTCCGCGTAGGGGCGCTTGCTGATCGGGCTTACCTGCTCGGCGCTGTCCGTGCGCCGGTACCGCGCGCCGTCCCATCCCGCGAATTCCCGCTCCTCCCTGCCGCCAGCGTCCTTTCCCGCGCGATAGTCCCACGGCGCGACGCCTTTGGGTGGCTAGTCCGAAACGAGAAAAACAAAGGCGAGCGATGTGGGAGCCTCGGAGCATCCCTCGGCCGCTTCTCTGGGTCGCCCCGAGACGCCTGGGGGTTCAGGACGGAATAAATGAGTGGACGTGTGTCCGTTGGGAGAGGCAGGCGTGTTGTCGTGTTGGAGCCCCACTTCGGTGGTCTCTCTCTCTGCGGTAGCTGTTGCGCATGCAAGCTATAGGGCTACCAGGAAATGAGCGTGCATGTATGATGAAGCTGAGGTGTGCAGTGGCCTTCCTCAGCGACTAGCGACACCCGGGATCACATACAGTGTCCCGTGTGATGCCAAAAGTCACCTTCTTTCATCTGATGTCCTCCCGATGTCTTTGGTGACATCTCCAACCCTCCTCAGCCAGGACAGGAAGAGGCTGCCTAGGATGCTGGGCGCTGGAGTGGTTACCAGTTCGGAAGAGGTGACTGCCAGGAATCTGGGTGCATTAACAGTAGTTTCATCCTCGCAGCCCCAGGATGCGTATATCACCCTGCCAAGACCTTCTCCCAATAACCGTGTGCTCCCAAAGTACTGAAGTAGAGGATTCCTCTTCCTCTTATTTGAAGTTGGTCAAAAACCACATTACAAGTTTTAAATGTTGCATCTAAGTGTTGGTTAAAACACTGCAAGGAAACCAAACCACAATATATCAGCTTAGTGGTTCTTTCTGTGATCTGCTTTTTCCTTAAATGATACTAACCCAGGCTGGTAGCCTTATTCTAAGGCAGTGCTCTATGGGAATGATGGGAGTTATGGTTTAAAACTTCAGGGATGGGCAGGAATGGAAGGCTGTCCTAGTACACAATGATTTATTGTAAAGATTATATTTTGCCTTTTACTACTATACTTTCTTGTCCAGGACATCTCTGTTAAACAAGGATATATGTAAGGGGTCAGAAAAGTCAAAATGGCAGCCACAACTGCACAATCAAAGTCATGCCTCTTGTTGATATACATCAAATGCAATGCAGTAAAAAGGGGGGGGGTAGGGCTTTGATCATGTGGCCACCATCTTGACTTTTTTGACCCACCCATATTAGCTAAGATTTCAGCATTTTTTCAACTGAAATTTCAGATTGTTTTTGTCGAGTGGCTTTCTTTTTTGAAATTGAAAAAGGTTTCTGATGTGAAGGAAGGGAATAAGCATGCAAGGTTCTTTCCTTGACTGATGTCAGCTGATAGTCTTTATTCAGTCCCTATATAACATCTTTAATTTATAATCTGCAATCAAGTTCTGTTATCACTGATTTGCTTTGGGGGATAGCAACAGTCTTTTTCAAGAATCATGTGTTCTGTGGACTAATATTCTGCCTCCAGCTTTGCGATCATATTTCTTATAAGTAGCTGTTAATTTCAGCAGCTGTATTCACAGAGTAGAGGAATAATCATAGAGGCTGAGTTCATTTTAAGCTATATAATTAACATACATTTGCTTTTAATCTCGTTAAGTGTTGGAATTAAGCTTCTGAAATGTTCTAATGAGCTGAAAGAATCCAGTGCTTTGATGTATCTCATCAGACTGTTTCCATTAATAAAGAGACATCCTTCTTTTTGTCCCCAATTCTGAAGAAAGGAACATCAATAGAAGAGAAAATGAACATCACTTTAATTGCTAGTACTCTATAACTTGTGTATTCGTTGAACTTATCTCACACTAGTATCAACCATCAATAGAAAAAAAAAACCCTCTTCACTGAAACCATAGAAACAACAAAGGAAATAAACAACCACAATGGGGCGCATTTGTTAATCCTTGGCACTCTTTCCTATCAACATGGTCTCAGCTATGTGGCTTTCTGTGCTTAAACAGTGCAGCTAATCACTAATTTAAAGAGAAACAAAAACAAACTATTCATAAGGCACTATTGAATTCATAAATCTGGGCTCACATTCGTGGTTACATAAACATGGATTTCATAAATATGCACTTGCCCAGCATGACTCTTCTATTATATACTTAGATTTGGGGGCACTGATTTTGGTTCTTTGCATCATGTCAGTGTTCAGTGCAGTAAATAGGGAAATTGGAGGCTGACGGAGTATTGTTGTGCATGTCTACTCAAATATACGCCCTGCTTAATTCAAAGGGACACTTTCATTTACATAGGACTGCAGCCTTAATATTCATGTACTTGTAAAGCTAGGTATCTGATTAAAAGCAAACATCCATATCCAGAAAAAAATCTGAATTTTGTCACAGGTAAACTAATGCAAGCCTGCATTACCTTCGTTACCTTCTTATCCTTCAAAAAGTAGATAATTAGATTTGATTCAACAAAGAAGGGCGCCCTGAATGTTCATGCAAACCTTCTTCCTAATATCTCAAAGGAAATACTACATGAGCATATACAGGGTATACCAAAAGTCAGGCCCCATAAACCATTTATTACATAATGGTTGAACATTACATGTTCAAATTGGCCGCCATTTTCTTCTAAATACTTCCTTACTCATTTGATGCGTGGCCTTTGAACATTCCTAAAAATAGTAATGTTTTCTCTGAAAAAAATAATTGATAAAACATAATGGGGCCTGACTTTTGATACACTCTATACATTGTATTTTCTTTCCCCTCTTGAAAATGGGCTTGTGATGGAGAGATTAGCTGACAGCTGCAATTGCATCTACGTCTTAAACAGGAGTTATCCAAAGTTCATTTTGATAGAGATACACACACACACCCACACACATTTACAGCATCCCAAATGTAGAAAGCTAAACAAAGACTTAAATTTGTGCAGCTAGTTGTACAAATTAAGGTAATACAGAGTTTATTCTGCTGCAGAGGGAAAAATAGACCAAATCCTGCACCTCACAAGTGGGAATCCTGCATGGCACTCCTGGCTTGCAGTTCTTTACCAAATCTTTTCCATATTTTTTTGAACTTACAGTCCTACCCAAAAGGCCCAGAAAGCTGATGTTTTGAAATAAGAATGTGAAGTCTTCCAATGCTCTGCATGCTACTGCCGTATACAGAATTACATCCTTTGCTCATTGCAGAATTGCTAATAGTCTGTACCATTTCTTCCTACCTCTTAATAAAAACTCTTTCCTTTGACCCTTCAGAAGCTTGGCAATAGCTCTTGCATTCATCCTCTCTCCTGTTCACCAACTGCTTCATTTATCTGATGAAGTGGAATGTCAATCACAAACCCTTACACCAGTGTTGTCCAAACTTGGCCACTTTAAGATGAGTGGACTTCAACTC